CGTCGGAGTGGCTGTGCGCGCAGGTGAATCGCGGTAGCTATAAATTTTTACGCGGTCAAACGCAGCCTGTGCTGAATGCGGTCGAAACTCTTACCGGCGGATTCTCGGTAATTCAACACTTGAGCGCGATTTCACGTATCGCGTTGCTCGCTCTCCGCGAGGCTTTGCTGCGGCCGCACGCATACGTCTTACTTTGTCGAATGAAAGCGCGCGGAAAAATAGACTCCTCTCTCTCTCTCTCTCTCTCTCTCTCTCTCTCTCTCTCGGCGTTCCGTATTTTCCGTTCTGTTTCTGTTTTTTTTTGTATTTGAATTAAAGAAAAAGCTTGGCGCGCTGAATATACAATACTCGCGTACGCTTGCGGCTCTTGCATTTCCATCGACGTAGACCTGCTCGTTCTCGATCGCTCGCACGCGTAGCTGCTTACTCGAGCTACAGAAGACCTTTACTCCGATTTGTTTCAATTAAAGCGGCGTCACACAGCTGAACCGCGAATCGCTTTGTAATTTCCATCACCCTTGTCCTGATCATTTCTGTGTAAAGTGTTGTGGAAGCATACAACCAATCATTGGAAGAGGCAGCGATGAAACTAGGGAAATTGGAGATATCAGTTCGACTCGACAAACGATAGCCGAAACAATGTCACCGAGTAACCAAGCAACGCGAATACAGCTGCAGAAGATACACAGCAAGCAGGAGACGCGCATACAAGTTCACGTCTCTATTTGGTCGCGATCAAAGGCCGCGAGAGAGCGCGTTCGAGATCAAACAGGGCCGCGCTGTATATTTTTATGGCTTGTAGATTCGGACCGTTTTATTATCTGTCGCGAGACGCCTAATTGAAAATTGATGCGGGCTGAAAAAAAAGTTCAAATGAAAATCGATCGCGACGGACCCGCTGCGAAGGAAAACAGACGAGGGATCGGGGACTTTCGATATCCGCCGACACAGAAACTTACAGCGGGTACTCCTGGCGGATAAGGAAAGAGAACTCGCAGCCCTGTGCGCGATTCTCGCGCGGAGAGCGACCATTAATCAGCGCGCGCTGCGGCGCAGCGAATCGAAATTGCAACAAAGAGAGTAACGGGCATTTAAAAGCGAAGGGCAGGGTGCGCACGTGTTATTATTCAATAACAGGTGTAGCGCGGTATGCGCTTTTCGCTCTCCTTTCTTCGTCTCGCCGGCCAGCGGCGGCATTACGCTCGAGCGACAGATTCTGCTGCGCACGCCGCGGTAGATTTGCAATTCTCTCTCTCTCTCTCTCTCTCTCTCTCTCTCTCGTCGCGTCCCGATTGATTGCGGCTCAAGGATTCGACCACAGCGCAGCCGCGCGACTTATCAATCTGCGTCTCGCCGTTTCATTCATACGCTCTCTCTCTCTCTCTCTCTTTCTCTCCTTTGAGAACTTGTTTTCTGCCAAGCAGCCTCTTGAGCTTCAAACTTGTCCCTTTCGTTGTGAAAAATATGGCTGGAAGAATTGGTTTTCATCTGTGAATAAACTCGGTCTCCGAGATTCCGGCATTGTTATTCGCTCTTTACAAAGTACACTATACGTGATTTACAAAAAGTATGTCACATAGGTTGACATCATCGTCTATGGACACGTAATGGATTGTTTATTTTAGCATTCTCAAACTCCTTTCTCTCGCGCTCTCGCCTTTGTCAGCAGTTAACAGCGCTTCATTCAATCGACATTTTTTAGCAATTCATCCTCAAAATTGATTCTGCCAAGGATACGGATTCAATGGAGATTCGAGCGTGCGAAAGTGCAGCGGCACGGCGATCGACATTTTCAGCGAGCGCCACGGCGAAAAAAAAAGAGCAGATGAAAAGAAAATGAAAGAAGCAATCGCCGAAACAAAAAACTACGGAAACGTCGGTATACAAGCGCGTAATTTTCTAAGAAACCATATCGCGACGCAGCAATTATCGCCGTGTCGGTCAGTTTGTGTTGCATAAGTCGCGGACGCACACATGCTATACCGACAGGAAGGAAGCTAGAGGGCACGCGCGCGATGAGATATCGGGCCGCAATAGGATGCTCTCAAAGGACGCCGCAACGCCCGGGAATTTCGAATGGTCGGTCTGCCTTTCATTTTCTTCTCTTTCGCGCCATTCTTTGGTCACCGCTATATAACTTTACGTTCAACCTTTTCTTTCATCTTCCTCGATGAGAATGAGATTCAAGTGTAAGGGGATCCGGGAGAAATTGTTTTTTGCGAGCTGTTCGCGGGGAGCGAGATTTTTGCATTGTTTCCAAAGTGAGCGGACTATTTGACGTGACGGGTGGGAATGAATCTAGCCAACATTCGGCGTCTTATTTACGATATGATCATTCCATGGATTCTTTCTCAAAACTCACCTCACACTGACAATTTAAAATAAATTCTTTACGGCTATACTTATTCTATTCAATGGCAGTCTTTGAGGTACGCCTAATCCCACAGCAGTGAGTCCATTGAAAAAGTTGTATTGCCAAGCTCGGGTATTCGAATTTTCAATCAAGGCATAGGACGGCGTGTACCATCGCGGGGCGTAGCACGATCAAGATGAGCAGTTAACTGGTGCATGACGACCTCGAGTGCAGCTCTGACGCGCAAGTCTTCCATGCTAAATTAGACGTTCGCTTTTCTTTTTTTCATCAAAGGAACAAATAAAGATACGACTGGGGTACAAATGGGACGCGAAGTAAGCTATTGGCATTCACGCATGGCCGAAGCTTACACGTGCGAGCTTGCAGCGCACGTCGAAGAGACATCGATGCTATCTTTTTTCCGCGCATTTCTCATTAATTCGATGAGCGTTTGTTCGCATGCTCGTCGCATTCATCACTCCGAACGAATTCTCCATCTCGATAAATGCATACGTGTACCGTACAAAGGTAAAATGTCGAAGCTTGCGTAATATTGCAAATCTGTTCACATGTATTTATACATTGCGAAGTAGTTCAAATAAATAACGTCCATAATTTTCTCCAAATGCAAATGTTCTATTATAAGCAGTTATACGTGTGATAACTCAACGTCGCGGTTAATCTCGTTTGCCATGCATGCAATATTATCGTGAGATGAGAATAAGTAGTATCTTTTAGTCTCGTTTATTACTCAATCGTGGAAGGCAATTTTCGACAAGCATACGTGCCTTGGCGCCGAAATCCTGCGACGAATTGCTTTCACTCGGTCTATGAATGACACAGGCAGAGAGACGACGACGACGACAACGACGACGACAACGACGACGACGAGTCTCCTGAGTAGAATCTTGGGGTGCATACGTGCGCGTGTCGATAACCGCGATATATTTTTAGAGCGTCGCGCGTACCAGTCACGTACAGAGATTCTCTATTTTCTTTTACTTTCATTCGCTTTCTCTAATGCCTCTTGCGTGCGGATGCGCTGACCATTGATTGCCATAGAGCGTTGATTATTATTACCAGTCGGCGTTGTTTCGCTGATAATTTATCGGAATCAAGGACGTTGCAGTCGCAACATCACAGTGTGCGAATGCTATTGGCTTAGACTCGCGTTAACCTATATGTAGAGATGAGTAAATAGCAATATGTCATTTGATTAATTGGAGACTTATTAGTCTATAAGTGAGTTTTATCACCAATATTACTTAACGATGTATTTTTAATTTAACTTCTACTTATAAAAAAAGAAACTTCTGCGTTTCAATCACATGTAAATTTATGGAAAAAAAAGAACTCATGAATGCAGTAGCTTACTAATTGTACATTTCAAAAGTTGACAGTTACAAATCAAATACATGGAAGGGATTGCTAATCGGTAGGTAAAATCGACAAAAAAAATCGAAAGTATCTAATTAACTCCAATAAAAGCGTATTTTCATTGGATTTGTAGGATAAAGTGCGAGAGAGCAACGATTCATTCAGCAAGCGCCCGAGGCGACGGTAAATGCATAACGAACGAACAACAGAGAAGGAGAGAGACAGGAAACTGTCTATCCAACAGAATTTTTCCATTTAGAATGAAGTTCTTTATAATATGCACGTGCTAATACAAGTTTATACCGATGTCCGAACGAAGGCTTATTCCGCCAAACAGAGTGAGAGAGAGAGAGAGAGAGAGAGAGACGGGGGAAGAGAGAAAGAGAGAGAGAGCGAGAGAGAAATGAATTCCGTATATTTTCGTGCTTATCCCATAAATCTCATGTCAAATGATCGAGAGTACAAAGGAATATCTACTTGCACTAGTGCGCAGGCAACGGTCATAAAGCCGCTCGAGAACAAATTTTCCCATAACTCTTGGCTCTACGACAGTAAATAGAGATTTTCGAGACGTGCAATTTTACTGAAAAATTTATATTTGCCCTTGCATATAGTTTACTTCTCAGCGAAATATACGCGCGAACAGTAATCGAAGCCCAATTGAATATTTGGGTGGTCAAATGGCTCGTGTAAGAAAGCTGAGAATAAGAAAACGAATGATCTTTATATGTAAAGTCTGTTGGATTCACGTTCGCGGCAAGTGATCGAGAGTACTGCACACGAGATTCATAGAAAGACAATCGTCATAGAACTTTGTGTACACTTGTGCGGAGTAAACGTTGATTGAATCCACACGAGTCATAAAAAAATGTATTCTACAGTAAATGGCACTCGCGATAAGAAATTTTCCGTGGGCGCAATTTTTTTCTTCTTCTCGTAGTGAGTCCCAGCCTAAACAAGCGAAATTCATCGAATTCTACGCGCGTGTTGAGCAATGTCAATCGTCAGTGACCAATACGTGGACGCATAATACGTCTGGAATTCATCAAACGTTTCTTCGAATTCGTCCGAACTTTATATAAAAGAGATCTTGAAAAAACATTTCAATGAGCGTCAGATTTCTATGACGTTCGCCTAATAAACTTATGAGCTCAGCGGAAAGTTGGAGAAAGCAGCAGGCCAAGAGGCAATCGAGTCGGCAAAACTTTAGCAAGTTTTAGGCGAGCGAAACAAAGGCGCTCCGCAAGCTGCGCGATCGATATCGACTTACCAGTTTTTCGAGGTGGCCACTGTATTGGCGGCGCTCTGTACTGATACTTGGGTGGCATGCTGCCGGGACATGGTCTGGCTCGAAATGGCTCTTGCTCCTCGAGCACGAGAACGCATCTCAAAGTGCACTTGCGCCGGTGGCTGTAGACGGTGGTTTGCTTTTGCGCGGAGTTGTACTTGCTCGGCTTGATGAAAATGAAGGCCGAGGGTGGAATACTGTTGAGGTCGCGACTTCTCGCGGCATCGCGGCGCTCGCGACTGCTCTCGTCGACGAAGATGGTCGTGGTGACGACCAAGCCTCGTGCTCGCGTTCTTCCTGGCGACGAGACATTTCCACCACGGCCGTGCAGGACTTGGCAACGCGACACCAGCAGCCACAGCAAAAGTATAAACTTGCCAAGCCACATTATATACGGCCTGATTAGCCGTCGTTACGTCTTCTCCGTCGAACGCGCATATTTTTCTAGGAGTACGGACGAACTGATTTATCTTTCTCTTTGCTCATCAACCGACAGCTTCTTACTCGACTTTATTCAATTCCCACTTGGCAATTATGGCTTGTTGGCTAATCTCACTACCTGGACCGAACTTCACTGCACTGAACTTGAAATACGACTTTCGTTGCTAACATCCTCTTTGCAGAACGAGGCTTTTAAATATCGCCGAATTTCAATTCGACTAAACTAGACAATGTCGCAGCTAACCTATCATTTAATGCAATAATTTGCTCCAAGCGAGTGCTTAATCGTTACAGTGTTTTTAACTTACAGCAAAAGCAACAATGAAACGATCGGCGTTGTCAAGACCGACAGATGAAAAACTTGTCGTATGAGCTTGCGAGACATTGAAAAATGATAAAAATCAAGCACACAGTGAATGGAAAAGGGTAGTCTGGAGTCTGATCGGCAGTGAACATATGAAGCCGATGTCCGCACCAGCACGTATGTAGCTCGGCTCGCGACTCGCGAGGCACTGCGCCGCGACGGCGCGCTTAAGCCATTTGCCATCGGCCCTATATTCCCCACTTCGCGTTATATACCCACATGCGCTCTCGCTCCTTCTCTCGCTCGCGTGTGCGCTGCGCTCTCGCCTGTTGCAGCTTCTGCAAAGATGCACTACCGCCGAGCCCTCGCTGTGCTTGCTCCTCTGTTGCTGTGTTTACCGGCGACGCACACACGTGGGTGTGCACGCCGCTTTTCTCTCTCTCTCTCTCTCTCTCTCTCTCTCTCTCTCTCTCTCTCTCTCTCTCCGCTTTAACGGCGATTTCCTACCCGCTACAGAGGCAGCAGACACTCGCTGCTACTTGTTTCTGAGAATCGACCAACAGTCGATTATGGGTCTGTACTGGCGATATAACCGCTCGAATTTGGCGGATTGCTTTTGTCCTTCGATGTTTTTTATTTTTATTGACAGTTTGATTGACATGTGCAATTACGGTAGCTATATTGGCTGAACCGATTCCACAACTCTTTATTAATCAAACACTGCGGCATACGAGTTATTTACACGAAAAGTTTTGGATGATTCGAGTAAGATGTCGCAATTACGTAATCGACGCAATATACTCGCAGCTATATGGATTTCCCATAAAAATGCGCTTCGCTCGATAGACGTCTATCGCTCGCTGATTCAATTTCACGATCGCTCGAGCGATAACGTCGGTGCATGTACGGCGCTGGCTCTATTTGTACCTCGGGCGAAGGAATATAAAAGAAAAAAAGGTTGCGGTCGAGGTCCGCGAGTAATTCAAGATTTGTTTGACTTTTGCTCTGCATGTTTGATCACCGCTCGACGCCTTCCATGATTGAAACTCTTCGTCGATATTGCCCATGAAGAGTTTCGCATTCCAATTAATAGATTGCAGAAACACTTGCAAATCTTGATAATCAATCATTCAAAATATAACAACGAAATTTTCCTATCTAATTTCGTTTCTATGAACATCATGAGTAATTTTAACAAATGGAGAAAGAAAAAGAAAGAATAGGTATATATTTTCCGATCGGCATTTATGACTTTAATGAGCGGTTGAAGCTTCCAGTAAAAAAAATAAAGCGTGCACTCCGGGGGCTGCAAATGTGCCGAAGGTGGGTTAGTTAATCGATGACATCGACCGCCCACGCTTATCGTCAGCAGTAAGCACACCGCGAGCGTAATTAGCAATTATTCCTGTAATTGTGCTTATCCACATGGACGAATATGATAATCGCATAAACATCCTACGCTTTAATTGGCTGTGGTTTATGTTGCACGACATGCAATATTAGAATTTTTCCGAACTGCAGCTTTCATACGTCTTTTTATGCCGATTCGTGTGGCTTTTAGCTTTTCATTATTGTATTAAGGTTTAATTGCAGAGAGTTTAGGGTACTGCCTTATTATTGATATCGATTTATTCGTTAAATGTGAATGTGAAAGCTTTTACAAAGTGTAACCTTATTACTTTTCTTAACTGCATTTGAATTAAATTTTACAGTGATCAAAAACAGAAAAATGTATATATTATGCTTAATCAATTTATGCTTAATCAAAAATAAGTCCGCGCGGATAAACAATGAAAGAAAAACTCGTAAACACGTAATTTGATGTAATTTTTTCAAACTTTGTTAGTGAAGCTTGGTATGTAAGAGAATGGTACATACATAATTTTTCAATTAATAAAATATCTAAGAAACGATTCTTATTTATATATTACATTTACATATTTACATATGTCAAAATCATTGACAATCATCAAAATCAAACAATAAAATATGATCTCTACAAAAAAAATTATCCTTTAAATTAAAAAAAAATTAATAAATTTGTTTGCTAATTAGCATCTGTTATCTTATTTATTATTACACAGGCCAACACTTTTCAGAACTAGAAACCGGAGGTAGTTTTTTTGAGATATCTTAACCACAAAGTGAAAATAACACTGTTTTTTATAGTTTTGGACTTTTTTTACATCACGAATTTTTATTCTCGTGGAAATTTAATAATTAATTTTTTGAAACCGATTATTATACCTAGAGATATCTATCATTTACGAGTAGAAAATTTAGGTTTCAGCTTACACGTAACATATGAGAAAAATTTTTCCAGAAATGAAATAACAGACCAAACTTTTATTTTGCACCTCTGAATCTAAATTTATCACGTGAACTGCCAAACTGCGCTTAACAAATGTTAAAACTTTTTTCCTATATATTACGTGAAATCTAAATTTTCTTCTTTTTAATAAATGATATTTCTAGTTGTAATAATCGGTCTAAAAAATTAAACAGTGCTTTTCGAAATAGAAGATTTGCTCTTTCCGATGTCGTTTCCAGATTTACAGTCGAATCAAAATTCATGATGTAAGTAAAGTCCAAAAACTGTGAAAAACAGTGTTTTTTTCAGCCAATTCTGAGCCCGGATTAAAATTCGGCACACCAAATTCCTTCGGTTACACTTTGTTTCGTTTCTAGATTCTGAATTTTATAGGCCTGTGTTATTTACCGTTGGGAGAACTATACAGATATTAATTTGGTGATCGCTTCGTAAATAGATGCAACTAAACAAATATACTGAAGTGATCGTTAATTTTAATTTGATATCATAAAAATAGTTACATATTTAATGTTGAGAATTACGTTATAAACTTTTCTTATTTTTTCTCGAAATTTATAAAAAAAAAGTTGTTAAGTAGATCAAGAACAGAGACGATTCTATTTTTCGTTAAATCACCGCTGATTTGATTATTGATATTAACCTATTATCGACCATATGTGATTTTTTGGACATGTTTTTGATTGCAAAATGTGTAAGACGAAATAATAAATTGTCCAAAGTACCATTCCTTATGTTTTTCGATATGCTGAATAAGATTCTGTACTCCAAATTCAAACATTTTGCTTGCTAATTAAACATGACGGGTTTTATGGAAAAAAATAGTGAAAAATTCAATGATTTTTTTATCAATTCGTTTCTAGCATAAAATATGTCAATAGCAAAATCTTTCTTCAATCATCAGTACACAAAAATCTTGAATTTTAATGGGAACTTTTTATATATGACTTTTTTTCCAAAATGACGGATAAATCACAAAAACCCGAAAAAAAAAATTTGTTTTTTTTTTCTTAAAAAATATAAGATTTTGGAAAAAGTTTTGTAGAAGAAAAATATCTTAAAATTTATCAAGGAACACTTAAATTTTTTAGAGAAAATTTTTGATTTTTAAAAAAATGTTGATATAGTTGGAAAAAATTAGCACAATGTTTAATAATATTTTGTTTGAAAACTATAAGCTTGGGAAAAAATTTTTAAGAATAAAAAGTCTTAGAATTAGCCAAAGAATACTTTTGAATATTTTAAAATTTTTTTGATAACTTTTATGGAAATATCACTTTTATGGTTTTTTGAAAAGTCAAAAACGTTCTCCAAAAAATTTGGTAAAATTTGAGTGTTTCTTGGTAAATTTTAGGACATTTTTTTCCTAAACCTCAAATTTTTAAGAAAAATAATGTTAACTAGAAAAGAATTTTTTTTCAAGTTTTTGCATTTTATCTGTCATTTTGGAAAATTAGCTCATATATAATCATTTCCTGTTAAAATTAAACAATTTTGTGCACCGATGGTTCAAGAAAGATTTCGATATTGACACGTTTATTGCTAGAAAATAATTGATAAGAAAAAATTTTTTTCAATATTTTTTTTGTAAAAAACCTATATTTAATTTTACAAGCAAAATTTTTTGATTTTGAGTCCGGATTGGTATTTAACGTACCCAAAAACTTAAAAAAGAGTACCGTGGATCAATTTATTAGTTCGTTTTACACGTGAATTTTGCGAATAAAAACGTTACATCTACGTTCCAAAAAGTTACATCTACAGTCATTAATAGGTTATTATTATAATATATTATATATTATAATTAAGAATGAGACTTTTAAGGTCGTTTTGAAAAAGAACTAAAATTTTTTAAGAAAAAAGTATATATTGTCTTGAAAAATTTTTAACAAATTCACCGTTAATTGCCAGACAATATATTTTAATTTTCTAAATGTTGAGTGCAGTCTAACAGGGGGGAGGTCTACTGCGTCGAGCATGAAATCACGTGAAACATTTATATTATCTCAGGGAATAATTATGGAATGTCTTCATTTGTTTTTATTTTAGAGTAATTTCACGAAATAATAACTTTTACTTAGGCTAATAAATAAAATAAACTCTTTTCATTGTAGCAACTGTCATGACTGTTTTTCATTTAATTGTTATTCAACAATATTATTAATCTTTTCTCATAGTGTTAATAAACGGCTTAATTATACAATAAATTTTATTAACAACCATTTCCATTAATTTCATTGTTTTTCAATCATGAAAATTGCTGCAGTGAGAAGCGGGTTTTCAACAGAATTACCACCGTAAAAATAATCATCGCGTTAAATTACCCCAACTAATTAAATAAAAGAAATTCGCTTAATTATTCTCTAAGGTAAACAATGAGATCGAAGTGCCTTATAGTTCTGTACCTGTACAGGTAGAGAGAGGCGGAGAGATAAAAACATAAGAGGGACAGGAGAGGGTACAAAGTTAATATGACCGAGAGAAGGTTCTATCCCCGAATATGTAGGGGAAAATATTGAATTTATTGC